AGGAAGACTGAAAGGGAAAACCTGGCAGGAGAGTGAGAAAGAAGAAAGTGGAGAAAGAAGAAAAACAGTGGAGCGGGCTCCCCAGGAGCGGATAATGCGAGAGCGCCGTCGCGTCAGCCCACATCGGATCTCTGCCCGCTCAGAGGTGTCTTATGAGCCCACGAAAAAAACCTCTCCTAGAGTAACCAAACCCAATTCTCACGCATTCCATTCCCTTTCTGGAGTCTAGGTGGGTACTGCTTTTAAAACACAAATTTTGGAATGATATATCATCTTCTGGTTTGCCTTATCTATTTTAAAAATGACACTAAATTATTGTCAGTCAGAAATTTCTATTGAAAATTTGTGTTGCACAAAAAAATAACTCTTTTTTAGCAGCAGAACTTTCTTTAAAAGCATTTTTTCCTGCTGTCTGACCAAATGTTTCAAACCAAAACATTTCAAACCCTTGGAATATGAGTTATACTAGAGTGGATTGTATTTAAAACGTTGTTGGAATTTATGTTTTTCAACTTTTTTTCTTGGTGTGTATTTTTCTTCAAAATTTCTTTCTTTTCAAATTCTGCACAGCACTGGTTAATTTACAAGAAAAAAATCTACAATTTAACTGCTCTTTTTCAAAGCTGATGAAGTTGCATGTTAGCAGTTTCAGTTTCAATAATTTTCCTCCTCAAACCAGTTTTTCTAATTTTACATAGTCCTAAAAAGTCATATGAATCAAAATTAGAAACTAAAAAGTGAAATAAAAGCATTGACATTCTCAATGTTGTTTGCTTTCAGTGACCTAAATTAAATCACCAAAAAAAATTTTTTTGGGAGAAATAGAAGAAGGTGTACAAACATTAAAAACTGTAAAACATCCCGCTGTTATTCACTTGAAGGTGAAGCAATTTTGTATTTGGGACTTTTATGTGAAATAGTTTTGCTGTTTGTGTAGGGGCTTTAAGCCATGCATATGTTTTAGCAGTAAAAATCCAAACCAAAACAAAAAAAGGTATATTCAAAGCTACTCTCATTTTCTCGAGCATGAGTGGAAATTGTCCTTCCTGGTGCCTGGAGTAGATACACTTTTTTATTGTACAAACAGAAAATACATCTACCCTCCACAAGCACTCACTTTAGTAAGAGAGTTTTTTTAAAAGAGGAATGTACATAAAAATGTTCAAAGTGTATAAGAATGAAATCTCCTTCAGTTTTATTTTCACATATGCTGAGTGGCAAAGTAATACCACAGACAAGTAACATTAAAAAAAAAAGGATGTATATCTGCTAGCACATTCTTATTTGTATTTTTTTATTTACACGCTGTCTAACAGAGTTCTGTGCTTTGCAATCCAATCTAGTTTTAACTTGCACCCTCCAGAGACTATATTTGCTTACAGTTTGTCCCCCTTGTTGGTCACAGGGAAGAATTTGTTTTCAGGCAATTTTTAGATCCCCTCTGCCGTTCTATTGCAATTCAATTATATCCTATGAGGAGGTTCTGACTGATATTCCCAACACTGGACTCCTCTACTGGGGAAAGTCTCCGGCTCTATAGTCTTTCTTCTTTATCTTCAGCTAGATAAAAATTAATATTATTTCTAAGAAAGACGGCAAGATATATTTGTCTCCTTTAACTTCTTAATTCTGGTTTATACTATCATGTTAAGATCAAGAACATGTTGATTACAATCTCAAGATTACAGAGAGTGTGATATAATAAATAAACTAAAGAGTACTAATCCCTTTATCCTTCACTTTTTTGTCATCTTTACTAAATTTCATGCTTGTCATCCTGCAACATGAGGCCATTATTGAGAAATTTTTTTTTTCTCATATTCTTTTTCTTGTATCCATACTTGAGTCTTTGCCGATTTCCTGTTTTTTCTCTTTCCAGCTATTAGGCTGAAAATGTTGTACAGGATCTTCACGTAGAGACAGCTTTTGCCATCTATAGCTGGGATTCTCTAGACACTTCCTTGTTAAGTTTTATTGGTGTGTTGGTTTAGAGGAATAACTTCAGTCAAGATTTCTAGCTGTGTAGACTAGAAATTCGTGTCATAACCACAGCAATAATCTGCATATTAATAATTAATCAAGCAACCTGCCTCTATTTTATCTCCAAAGCTCCCAGGAGTATTTTTCACAGTGTAATGTTCAGATTTGTTTCCTGTGGTATACTGAACCAGAAATAAACATGACTTGCCATCATATCTCTTGTTTATCTCTTGTGCCGTGATTTATGGAGAAATGGGAAATGAAGGTTGAAGAAATCAATATTTCTTTTGGAGGACTGCTTTGCCTCTCCATCCCACAGCTGTGAGATCCTGGGGAAAGTCACACAGCAGATCAGATGCTGGTTCATCTGCAGCCAGTAACAGAATATTTTGGGCAAGTGTATATCCCACCAGGTCAGCTGCTAATATTTCGCTCTTGCTTTTCAGCGAGCAGGCAGGCATGAGATACTCTGACTAAGACCCAACTTGCACATTCCCACTAAAGCTTAATTTGGCCGCATTGCAACATCTGTGTTGTGCTGAGTCCAGTATCTCTCTGTGCTACCAGGGTCAAACTCATCTATCATCACAGGCAGCAGTTTGGAAGATGGTAACTGCTGCTGCCTCCATTCCAAACTTACTGACAAAAAGAAAAGAAAAAAGGACTAATTTATATTTTAAAAGGTGTTCAATAGATGAGGCTACCCTTCTAGACAGAATCAGGCCAAGTTTCTCCCCAGATATTTCTCCCACACAAGAGGTGCATGCCCTTGAAATTTAATAAAGAGAGCAAATGACACTCCATAATTTTCGTCCCAAGCACTGACTGAAAGGTGACATTACACAATAAGAGTAAATCTCCTGCTCCGCTTATACCAGCCAAGAACCCAGAGACATTTCTGCCATAACTCCCAAACCAAAATAGCAATTGGTGAAATACAACCTGCATGCTGTTGTTAAAAACAAGTGTGAGTATTGTAGTTAATGCTTGGCAGCAAGCCGGGGAGCCAAAGTTCACCAGAGGGGCCCTGCTGGGGATTCCTGGAGGCACTGCATAAATCTCTGCTGGACTCCCTGTCACTGACACGCTGGGAGTGCATGGGAGCACCCCGAAAAATATGCCCCAGGCTCCCAGCAGCAAACACCAAGCACACGTCACAGCCCAGGATAAAGAGCATGGATGCACATGTGTGCATGCATGCACAGAGGGGCAAGGGGCAGTGATGCAACAGATAATCAGTTCTTTCTTCAATGCAACAGGTAATCTTGAGCAGATGATTGTTAACCAGTTATGAAGACTCCTCCGGCTCTTACTGGGGTTACATGTCTGATAATCGTCCCCTGATCTTTTCAGTCCTCACTGGCTCAGCAAGCACCACCAGTCTTCCTCAGTAATTTGGTTTCTGACTCAACAGCTCAGAGTCACATCTTCTAGGGAATGATACAGTCTTATTTTAAAGATTCAGAGGAAAGCAGAATTTACCTTCTCTATCCCAAAGCTAAATACATCCACTTAAAAAAACCTTACTGAAAAGCTGCACCTTATAATAGATTTGAATGGTTTCACAGTCAAATCTTGTTATACCTTTGTCTGCTGGACCGAAGAGCCCTGTAATATCAGATAGCTCCTCTTCACATAAGCAATTATAGAACATGATTGAATTGTTTCTTAAGCTCTTTTACAAGTGAAACAAACAGATCCCCTCTAATCTCTCATAGTAAGCATGTTTTCCAGGCCACGATCCATCCTGGCAGGAATCAAGAGACAGCTGAAGTCAGAGAACTCGTCCTCATCTCCTTAGGATCTGATCCCTAAAATGCTAATGTGAATATTTACAAACTAGAAAGTGCTTAGGTGTGTTACTAGACACATTCTCCTTTCATACCTTTTATTCAGTTCACAGAAAGCATTCACTGTGTTGAGTGCAAGCCCTCCCATTATATATAGAATATTCATACACCTATTCAAACGCACAGACCACCTGTAAATGCAAAACTAAGCAAAATTCAGAATATTTATCCAACAGGAAATTCTAACATCTCACCTTCTTATTTCATCCCAGCTTAAAACCTGAAATGTTAACATTTGTCAGAGAGAAAATGGCATTTTTACACAAAATGGGAGAGCACTGTGTTTTCATATCCTCCAGTGCAGACATATCAGATCGCAGTTTCCCAAATGAAAGCACTTCCAATGGATCAATGCTGTTATAGTTCTACATTCCCTTATCATGGTAAATTGCCTGGCAGAGATTGCAGGTTGGTAGCTAATGAACATGCTCAACTCTCTTTGAACCCTGCTCCCTCTCCTCAGCTGGCTTCTGCCTTTGGGGCCAGGCTGGAACAGGGCAGCAAGAAACCTGTAGGGCACTGTGTGAAATGGGGACTTTCTGGGAGCTTAGCTCTGGGAAAAGGAAAGCTTAGCTCTGGAAAATTTAGCCTTTAGCCTCATTTAGCCTCACGCTGTACCAAGCTGCTCTGAAATATTTTGGGTAAGCAGAACATAGCAGAATTGTCTGATCCAGGCTGAAGGATGAGTGAAGTGTTTCATACTTACAGTGTGCTCTGCAGAAACTCCTGCTGACTGCTTTTCACACAGATAAATATGGGCACAGACATTGCGAAATGCATTTTGCACGTAGAAACAGAACTGCCTCGTAAACTCCAACATAAATACAAATCACAAGCAAACACACATCCTGAACACACACAGTCAGCATACCAAAAAATCAGATGGCCAGCTCAAATACATGCCCAAAATGCCCCCACCTCCTCCTCCCACCATTAGAGGAGATGAACCTTAGGAGATGATGACTTCCATGCTTAGAAAGGCTCTCTCTACTTACTGTGAAGTACTTAAATGTCTGATTTAGACTAGAAGCTGAATTTTAACATGGCTAAAATTACACATTATACCCACCAACACAAGGCAAAAACACATAAACATTTAGCTAACCTACGGATGCATGCAAACACAAAGCATGAGTATATGGTATTGTTATTACAAGCACATACCCAGTTTTAACTCTGCAAACAGAAACAGAAACTCTTTTTACCAGCTCCCAAAATTTAATGCGGGTCCTGCTTATCTTCTTCATGCCTCTTCTTAAACTGATCACCGCAGAATCAGAAATCTACTTTTACAATGAAAACGTTGCTTTCCTGTCATCAAAGCTGTAAATATCAGATTGAAAACATGAGTCCGATAGGCTAAGAAAAAAATGGGGAAAGTGGTCAAAAGAAACCAAAATCTATCAGTTTCTCAAAACTTATGAGTTACTTACTCAGTCTTGCTCTGTTATTTTTAACACTGTTGGCAGCGCTGCAACAAGCCCATGAACATTAAAAGCACATTCACAAGGAAAACCTAAAAACATAAATACAAGTAGATATTTCTGGCACGGACTCAACATATGTGTGCATATCTTACCACCGCTGTGCAAACGTAGATGTACAAACTCTACAGATGAGGGCCAATTCTGCAGAAGTATGGATGTGTAACACCTGCAAATACTCAACAGGAATCCTGCACAATAGTCACACCACCACAATTATGCACACACAAACCCTGCAAACCAGTGTGCCTACAATTTTAGAAGCACAAAACAGTCTGACTTTCAGAGTAGAAGCAAGGAAAATATTTTCATTTGTAATTGATACTTTGAAAGTAAATGAAAAATTTTGTTTGGGTTCAAATTAAAATGTCAATTTTTTTGGCTAGAAAAATAAATGAAACGCTTTTACGTCAAAATAACAATTTAAAATGACAGATATGCTTTGATTTCAATTTAAATTGTTGTTTTGTTTTGAAAAAAAAATATTTAAAGCAGCATGAAAACAAAAATGAGCATTGTGTTTTAACGGGCCAACCCAAGACAAAAACACAGTTTGGAGAAAATGAAAACCGACTGGAGAAATTGTAATGAAAATTTTTTCATTCAAGTTTTCTCTGGGGAACCTTTATTTTTGAGACAGTGGTAACATACACGTACAACCCGCTTCTTATTCTTCATACACATGCGATCTATAAGAATACTTCATAAGGGCACACTCCGAGCCCTTTACATACACACAGAGGCACTCACGGGCACTTTGAGTTTGTGCTTTCGACATGTCTGGGAGCATCAAACACACCTTAGCCTGCACTGGACACACACATGTGGTCTCTGTTAAGAAACCCAAGAAATAAAGCCAATTTTAGATCAAGTGAGCTGTGGTCCCCTGGCTCAGGTTCTAGCGCAGGTGATTCTATAAACAAAGTTTAGTGCCAACGTGAAAGAACAAATATGCTATAAATAGTTCATGACTTCCAAAAGCCCTTGTCTCTTTCCAGTCCTTCTTCTAAACCAAACCAGCAGATGGGCTGAGAGCACTTCAAACCCTCTCCTTGAAATAAAATGCTGGAAATGAAGAAGAACAGCATGAAGGCAGTAAAACAAAATAGGAAAAGGAGGGAGGGGGCCGCAGGGGCAGGGGGAGAAAGGCTTTAATTTATTGGGGAGAGGGCTGGGAATGTAAAAAGAGCGGGAGTGAAAGGAAGAAAGGGGACATCACCCTGCCTGATTGCAATTGCCATTAAGTTGCAGCAGGGGTGTTAAGTTGCAGTGTGGGTGCAAGTGCACACAGCCCACCTCCAACCCAAACCTCCTCGGCATCTGAATCTTCCCCACCCTGAGTGATTTAATGCCCCGGCCCATGCGGTTTATTTACTGCCTTTTGCTCCATTTAATGGAACCCAGGGGCCTTCACACCAGCACGGGTCAGTGCCGAAGCATTTGTTACCTGTGCCAGGCAGCACACCAGAGGCAAGGGAGAGGGGGGAATCGGCCATTCAAGCACAAAACGCAACACAAAGTTGGAGCCTGTGCAGGGGGAATGTGATTCAGCGCGGACTCTGATTAGTTTTATGAAGCAGGAGGTTGCTCTAACATCTGGAGGGAGTTTGCAAGGAACTGAGACAACACGGGCCTGATGCAGCAGACTCCACACATAATGGGTTTTTACACCCAGCCAGAGGTGTTAGGAGAACTTGAGAAAATCCCCAAATTCTCTGGAGCAGATTAAGTGCCCTAAACACAGTTAAGGAGGCAATTGGTTTAACTATAACCTTTATAGCTGCCGAATGTCAAATAACAATTACTATGCATTTAAGAGAAAGGTCTAGAGAATACTGAGGTACTTACCTACACAACAAACTGGGGATTGCAGCAACTAAACAAGGTGACACAAATTTCTAAAAGGTTATTAAAATTAAGATCTAGTGAGATTAAACAAAACTTTTTTGTGGAATCACATGTAATGCAGTATTTCCATGTGCTGGCTGAAAAATCAGTGTCTTCAGTGACAGTGGAAAGGTCTCCATAGAAATGAAGCAGCAATGATAGAGTGATAGTGGATCTCCAGGAGAGGTCACTGTGTTATGACAACATCTAAAAATTTAAGGTACACACACAGCAGACAGCACTTGAAGGAAAAAGAACAGTTGGGCTGGGAGCACATAACTCAGGAACAGAAACAAGTTGGTCTCATATGCCATGCAGTGAGCAAATAAAAATATAAGTACCAGAGATATGTTGAAGAGCTGTGGTCAGTGTACAAACATGGAATTCATGCAAAAAGAAAAAAGAAAAGGAAACACACTGTACTATTCTGAGTACTGCCGTAAAGAAGAAATGTGCTATGTGCTGCTGTTTTTATTTTTTCCCCCACAGGAATCCATGCAAACTACTTTGCTATTTGTTAATGGCTGTTAGACTTCTGGCAGCTAAATGGACTGCCAGACATTACAACAGTAGCAATCAGAGACTAAGAAAAGAGGTATTTCAGCAGGCATGGCATACCCCAAATGCAAAATAGTTTGGTTTTCTTTCAGAGATTGTCCATGAAAATTATTATCTCCATCAAATCGAATGGGGACACCGTTAAAATTGCTAAAATTCTTCCAAAGTTGCAGAAACTACTCACTAAGCTATTCCAGAGAAAATAAACGTCCCAGAGGTGCAATATCTGAACAAAAAGCGTCCCAGATTAAACTGTACCCTTGAGAGAAATTTCATCCTGGGAAAAAAAATCCCAGGTGTCAAACAGATGAAATTTGTTCAGAAAAATAAGAGTGGATGGCGTTTTCCCCTGGAAGCACAGATAACACTCAAACACACAATCAAAACAAGAGCAGAATTAAAAAGCCCATTGCATTTGTCAGTGCAATATGATAGAAATTTTGCCACTTTTTTCTGTATGTTGGCAAAAATAGGTTTTTTGGGACTATTACTCAATGTTATATATGTGAACAGATTATCCTCTTCATGTTTTATTTTATTCCAAGTAATTTTGCCAAAAAAAACCAAACAAAAAAAAATAAAAGACCCCACCAAAAAAACCCCACCCAAACATGATCTGTAGCAGGACTATTTCTATAAAAATTGCACTCTAATTCTAGATGACAATAATGAGTGTTTGAGTGCTATGTGGGCAAGACTGAATAAAACCTAAATATTGCAGTATTTTATCATGATATCATGCTGAATCAAAACTCATAGCAGAAGTGTAGATAATGCCAGTCAAATACTTTGAGAGGATGAAGAATGGCATTGGAGTTGCTGGATAAAGGCAGACATTGGAGATTTAAGAAGGCCTAAAATATACATGGCTTGTGTAAGAATAGACATCTGAGAATGGGATTCTAAATCAACATTTCATGTCCAGCAGAAAAAGTATAAAATCCTATTTTGGTAATTGGACAAACACTTGTTCCCCGATATCATCCAGTGGTAAAAACTGAAGGGTTTAAATGATAAAAATCAAGTGTGTCTGTGAGCTGCTGCTAGACAGTGGATGAGACTTTGAACAGGAATGATCTTTGGGGTTGGACTAGGTGACCTTCAAGGTTCCTTTTAACTCAAACCATTCTATGATTCTATAATGTTAAAACTATCCCTTTTACTGGTCTCAAACTTGCCTGGGATTATAGAACACACAATGTTTCTCTGGCAAGTGTCACGCATAAAATCAGTTTATTCTTTGCTGTCAGGCTGAAAGCAAGATGAGGAAGAAAACGGCAAAACTCTAAGCCATGTCCCATAAACTGTAAAGCTCTAAACATAGCATGTGTATGGTTCTATCACCAAACATTTGGAAAGTTTCAAAAGGAATAAAATCTGCAAAATCAGATTGGTATCTAGGAAGAGTTGACAGCTTACTAGCACAAACTTTTCCAATTCATCAAGGCCTCAGCTTTAGACTGCAATAGTACAAAGGTGCCATAGTTGAAGAAAGTGAACAATAGGGAATAAAAATTGCTAATAGGTAATCTGGCCCTGTAGTCATCTGAAAAATAAAATAAATGTAGTTATAGTGCCTTTCCTGTAAGAAATTTTCATAAAGAAAAAAATATGCACTGACAAATGCAACCGGAAAAATGTGAAATTGGATGAGGACAAGATGTTTAATAGTGAATGAAGTAGGGAGTTCATTTATATCACAGGCTTGATTGTAGGGTCAGATGTCTTTTGCAGGGTGCCACATCAGAGCTGGTTTTACCAAGTGAAATTATTTCCACTAAAGGCCATTTTGAACTTTATCAAATGGAAGGGGAGCTGATTGTAAAACAGAAGGCTTCAATTGCTTCAGAGAGAAAATCTGAAAGAGGGATCAGAGATTACAGAGAGTTGCCAGGAAATATTTGATAAGCAGCAGACCTAAGGAACTGCTATGTGTCCATTTTCAAAATCCCTTTCTTTCCTGCTGTGCAAAAACAAGAGCATTACTTGGCTATGTGTGAACCACAGAATCTGAAACATCTGGTGGGTAGTTAGACAAAAGGAAGGACAAAGAAGGAAGCATTTATGTATTCTTGTTCCCTCAACAAAATGGATATTTTTCTGCAATGTATGCTCCATAAGCTCTGGGTATGCTGCAGTATGGGGAAAAGGGGCTGGAGTCTGTCTACATGTCTCTGCTGAGGACAGACACAGGTTCAGCAGAGTAAGAGGCCATGCATATTTCTGGCAACAGAATGAATAAAATAAAGGTGTTATAGAGAAACATGATTGGCTTGGATTCATGGGTTTGTAGCAAAGACAAGAGATGAAAAACTGGGGGAAAGCAGGTACCAGGAAATGCCCATTAAAGCTGTTTCCAATTTGCTTGAAATGGGAAATACCCGTGCAATGAAAGTCCACACCAGTCAGAGCTCCTTGGATCATGGGTCTCCACAGGCATTCAGCCTGCCCTGCAGCTGGGGATCCCAGAGGGACACTTGGGCTTCTGTGGGATACATCAGGGTTTTGAATGTGTTCCCATGGTAAAACAGAACAGATAGGCTGCCATAGGAGTATGAGGGAGCATCAGGTAAATGATTTTTAAGTGCTTACCTGGGTTTCCTTTTCCCAGATCCCATTACCCTGTTTTGGTAAAAATTAGGTGATTTGTTTCCTCCTCCTTCATCCCAGAGATCATCCTCCTGTGAGAAATTATGAGACTTGATACCTCATTTTTGACCTTTTGGAACCATTA